CAGAGTGTTGTTCAGCATGGGGGTGAGTAGAAAATGACGGCTAATCACGTTTTGGGTGTACCATTCCTTTAAGGCTTTTTCCCCAGGTCTCTGTCTTGTTCTTCAAATCCAAAGTTGATGTTTCAGTATTGGGCTCAGGCTTGCATTATAGGATTGTTTGAAACACTGCATTTTTTTTGCAAAATAAAACACAATTTTCTATACTTCAGCGATAGTATCAAGGTGCTACTATATTGTATCTCTTATACTATAACAGTTGGTTGTTCTGTTCTTTTTACATCTCTTTCCAGGTGATGAAGCAGACTGAAGATGTTTTATCATTGTCTCCCTTTTATCTCCTCTTTCTTTGATCTTTTCTCCTTTTTCCTGTTGTACTTACATTACAGTGTCCATATAATCTGTGATACTCGCTGCATGAATTGTAATAAAGCTTTTTATTTGCATAAATCAAGTGGAACACTATGGCGATAGCCGTACTGCTCCACTTGTGAAAGCAAAATCTGTTCGTTCCATAAGAGTATGTAGATCATTTAAAAGTCATACAGTCATTGGGGTTTCTGGGGACTGGATTTACTTCCTGCAGATATAAAGCCATAAATAGAATAACTCAGTCTTTGAGCTTAATAAGACACCATTCAGTGACTTCTAAGCTGCTATCCATAGGGTGAAAAATGTTGATATACATGAGAATGAATGCTCTGTAAAAAGTAGGAAATTATACATATTTGCACCCAAATGATAAAATGTAATACATGAACTACTGTAAGGTTAATGGAGCCTAGGCGGAAGTTCAACTGAATAAACTCATAACTCGCCTTCATCCACCTGCGACACAGCCAATCAGCTTTGAACCACGCCTTCATTAAAGCCAATCGTCATCCAAAGTTAATCTTAAAAGCCCTCCGATCCGCAGCTCGTCTGCTACCTAGTGAGCAAGTGGTGGTTGATGTGTGGTCTGATGACCCAGTTTCAACCCACCTCCATCCCCAAGCTTCATCAGAGTTTCATTCCTCCCAGACTCTTATGCTACGTTCACACCGGACGCAGCAAGAGCGTCTGCTGCTTCATTTTTGCTGCTTGTACCAGTTTAGTTCTGACGCGCGGCTGAAGCAGCTTTGCTGCTCTGGCTGCGTGGTGCAAAAGTGTGTCTGACACCCTTTGGGCGGAGCTACACTATCCTTTCTCTGCCCTGCAGCTATATTTGCTGTGATCAGTGGGAATAAAGTAGTTTTAATATGTTTTTAAGTGAGAAAATCCACCTGAAAACTTAATCAGTGCAGTCAGTTCATCCAGATTACACCCCCCCTTCCAGTATTATTTCTGTCAGACCCCCACATACCAGCGGTGCGCCGACAGTAGGAATCCCTTCATCAGCAGCCTCTGGCCGGGTCGCCTCCTCGTGGTTCACCGCGGCGGCTGGTAGGTGTTTTTCATCTAAATAATCTAACCTGCAGGCAGCAGGATAATAAAAGCCAACATATTCTGTTGGCAGATTTCTGCATTTTAAGTTAATTTAGGCGTCAATAAACTGTTTCAGAGGAGTGATCACAGCGCTCTGGGTCATCAGCGATGTGTCTGTCTCACGGCCAGCTCCCAGATCAGCTTCTCTGATTGGTTGAAGCGGTGCGTCAAGCAGCAAAAGTTCAATTTTTCCATCTCGAGCAGCAGCGCGTTTGCGGCGCATCACATGCTTAAACGCGCCCGACGCGCTGCTTCAGCTGCGTAGACGCGCTGCGCGACCTTCTGCTGCGCCTTGACACGTGTCAACCATTGACTTTGCATGTAAACTCGCTGCTTCTGCCGCGCCTGCAGCGTCCGGTGTGAACGTAGCATTACTGCATTCTGTGTCTCATTTCAACCGGTCCGGCAGAAGACCGCCATGTTGAGCCTGGTTCTGCCAGAAGTTTCTTCCCAACAGGGAGTTTTTCCTCTCCACTGTCACTTCATGCTTGCTCATCATGGACAGGTTCTCTCAACCTGTGTTATCCAACTGGACTTCCATCTTCCAGGTCCCTCAGTGAAGCACTAGTATCAGCTCATGCAGTCCACTGGATCTCCCTATAAATCTCAGCATATCGTGTCACTAACCAGCAGTCTACAGACTGATCAACTTCCTCTATCTCCACTCCTCCACCAGTTTCAGGCCTTGTTTTACTGGATTTCTGGGCTCAAAGCAGAACTTTTACTTCAAAGAATACATATTTTTTTCAGTACAGCTGTACTTTTGGAAAGATTACATGTCAAACTATTTACCCAGCAAAGTCTGTGACTCGGAGTGTTGTTCAGAAATGGTTACAGGGAAATATTGTGCAGAAATAAAGCCTCTTCAAATGCAAAAACAGTAAAAAATATTTAAGAATGTAATAAGGTTCAACTAATCTTTGGGAAATTTGAATTTGAATAAAAGATTGTTATCTTTTTGATGGCAGCAATGATCCAAAGTTTATCTTCCATTAAATTGCCAATGTCTTCAGGTGTTGGTTACTGTGAAATTAAATTTGGCCAGTTTTTTTTTCTCCAAATTAATCCTAACCTGATTCCTCAAACTTGTGGAAATCTATATTCCTGTGACTCCATCTAGTGGACAAAGCTTATAATCACACATTTATCTCTAAAGCCTACTACATAAATAAATATTTGAACAACTTTATAGTTTAGAGATTTAAAATTACCTGAATAAGTCTTACAACTGAATTTTGTAAACGACCCCCCCCCCCAAAAAAAATATATATATATTCAATAAAGCAACATTTTTACCTCTTTTTATCTTTAAACTAAAAATATCAAGCACACTTCCCTGAAGCCAGTATACACTGACCTCCACTAGATCACTTTACAGCTTCTATGCTAGTTTTATTAATTAAAATAAATATTAATTGAATTATCTTACTGTATCAAACTGTTTCTTTTTTTGTGATCATCTCCCTTTGATTATCATGAGTATCTTGATGATATTGCGTTACAAACAATAAGGCAATGTTCTGATGTTTTGTTGTCTTTGAATGATTTGGTCATTTTACTGCACATTTGTACTGTTTTCATGATGAAGCAGTCATCTGGTCATAATTATTCCAAAAAAGTGGAAAAAAAAACAATCTACTACTTAACACGACTTAATTTTCCAAGTTTGAAGATGTTTCATTAGGAAGAAGTTAGGAAGCTTTTTCAATTCAAAAATTGAAACGGCAAAACGTCTTCAAACTTGGAAAACAAAGTCCAGTGGTTTTTTTTTGTTGTTGTTTTTTTTTTTTTTTACTATTTTAGCTTTTTTGCAAAAGTATTTTATGTTTTTTTGACAAATAGAACTAATTTCATTAAACATAAATGCTTTTAAATGGGAAAAGTTTGACGTAATATCAGTGTCTTTTTATTATAGAGGATGCAAATATATAGTTTTAACAGCTGAACAGAGAAGAAATATTTTTTTTTTTTTTTTTTTTTTAATGATTTCACAAATATCAAAAACATTTCCTGTGTGATCCGCATCATTAAGACAGACATTGGCTTTGCTGCCAAATCCACAGGATCTGAATGTAACCAAACAAATTTCAACTCTCCTCATTAGTCATTTTTATGCAACATTTTTTTTACTCTATTTCTTTTTCAGGGATACCTGGTAAAAGTTAAATAATGATACAAGTAATATTGTTTAAAAAAAAGACTTTTCAATAATTTCAAAAATCTTCACATTTACACTTTTATTGTAAAGGCAAATTCTTACAAAATAGTCATGTGACACCGAAATGAAGAAAAAAAAAAAAAACATGTGAGAGTTACAAGGAAGGTGCAGCAGAATTCTGACTTTGGTGATGATTCTATTTGAATTAAAAAAGAAAACTAACCTGTTTAAGAGTTCAAAAGGTACAAAAGCAAAAAGAGAACATCAAAATGTGAAAATATTTTAGCAAAAGCTCAGACAATGGCTGGCTGGATGGTCCAACGTGTAACAGCTTCCAGATCAAAGCAGCAGATCGGCTCAATGAGACACTGCTAAGGCTGCAACTAAAGCAGACGCAGCCATTAAGGTTACTCTTCTAGGGCGATAACTACACATGATGAAGCAATATACCTAAAACCAAAAAAAAAATTGCACATGCAAATACAAAGTCCTCTGGTGCTATGGCAGCTTTAAAGCTACATCAGCTGAAACAACAGATAAACAGCAGTACAGTATATAAAGAACTAATCAGAACGGTATAAAACTTTACCACCAAATGTATCCTCTTATTAGGCAAAGCAGTTTTAGTAGCAACATAACTTTTATAAGTGTGGTTAGATAGTTTTACAGTACATTTTGGAGCCCTAAATTATGTATTTATGTCCTGCAAAAAGCCCTAGAGATGATGAGTTTTATAGAAAGCTCTTCCAAACCAAGACAAACTGAAACCAAGAGAATCCCATTTGAAATGAATCGCTTGTTTCTGGTAATTAGCTTTATTAGCTCGCCTGCTGTGAGTTGGATGGAAAGGTTTGCACCACTAGCATTGATGCCCTGTTTTAAATGTGAAATGTTTGCCCGTAGCTGTTCTATTCTCCTCTCAGAAATAAAACAAATTACAGCCAACTGCTTTTTTTTTTTCAGATTGCTTACATTGGGGAGCGATCTAGAAATAGTTTGCTACATAATAGACCATCATGTGCTGCACATTTTACACTGGAAAAAAATCGAAATCTAGATAAGTCATTTTTCTTAAAATAAGTGCATTTGTTCTTGGAATGAGGAGGTAAAAGAGACATTTTGCCAATGGAATAAGACAATTTACATTTAAAATAAGAAAACACAATTGCATCGTCTTATTTTAGGTGCATATTATCTAAGTATGTAAAAATACTCATTCCATTGGCAAACTCTCTCATTTGCCTAGTCAGATGATAAAGGGTAAATACACTTAATTGAAGACATTTTTACACATTGCTATATAATTTTTCTAGTTTACACGTGATTTTCATCAAAACAATTTAGCTTAGTCTGTGTGGAAAAGTATCTTTACAGGTCAATAACTTTTGTTAAAGATCAGATTATCTTTCTTATATACGGTTAATATATTTGATATAGTTTTTTGATGTCAGCATAGTTTAAAACCAATATTGCAGATAATGGGAGAGTTTTTGTTCTTCTGAGGTGAGCAGAGCTTTTTGGTTATTTCCCTGACAGCATTTTTGCAGGACACAAACATTAATGTCTAATACTTTCTTTCTGTTCTAAAATTAAAACCATTCCTTTTAACTAATTTCTACAATGGCTTCACTAAACATCAAAACTTCTCCTTCTTTCCCATCCTATCTGCTTCCTTAGGTTCTGCCTCCTCACCAATTTACTTCCTTTTGAAAGTTACAAACTTGCCAAATTTTCTCCCTTCTTTTTATTTCTGTCATGAATGAATTGTTTCTTTTATTCGCAGTGCTCCTTTTCCCTCCGTTGCTCAGTAGTGCCCCCTAGCAGGGTTGGTTGTTACAGGCACGAATCTCCCGCCGGTCCTTGCAGTTGCCCTTTGCCCTTCTCTTCACCGTCCGGAACCGCTCCTGTAATCCTCCTCCGCATGGTTTAGTGCATTCAGTCCAGCTGGTCCATGGCTGCATGCGGCACGCAGCTGGAGCTGAACAGATGAGGAGCAGCAGGGAGGCTTCAGTCAGAAACAAACCAAAATACAAACAGCAACAGACACGGAAAAAGCTGCATGCATTCATCTTTTTCTGTTAAAATAATCTTAAATTTCTACATGAATATGAATCCATCCCAATTTAGATTGATCATATTAAATTATATTATAAGCATTCAAGTAAATACTTTGTTTTGTCTTAAGCAACACTTCCACATATTGGATTTTTTTGATGTACTGTGACACATTTAGGTGCTTTTGCTCTCAGGGAAAAGCCTGCAAAAAAGCAGTTTATTACATTCTATGATTTACTTTTTTCTTTGACGTTTGAAGCTCCTCTGACAATTGGGGTTTGTTGTTTGCATCACGTGTGAGTGTGTTGAGACAATAGCTTTTTTTGAGATCCCAGATTGAGTGGCTTACAGTTTCTCTCCTGCTGAACCTACCTGGTCCTTTGGGCTTACTCCCGCCTCCTCCTTTTGTACGACACTTCCTGATCTTGCATTTCTTCCTCTGGATGGTCTCGGGACAAGAACTGCCCCCAAACTGCGGCTCCAGTTTGATCATGCGGGTGCGGATGGTGTGTCCTTTACCGCAGGACTTGTTGCACTCCGACCACTCCGACCACTCTGACATCATGCAGTCAATCGCTGGATGGGATAGGAACAAAGATAAAGGAAAGTGGGGGAGGGGGTCAAGAGGAAAGAAGATCAATACAGTTTTTCATGTTGCAACAAAAAAAAGCTCACATCATTACATGGAGATTTAATTTGAGAAACCAACAAAGTGACGTAAAATTAGGAAGTACTAACTCAAAAATGCTGGTACAGATTTTATATAAGAAAAAAAAAATCTACAATCATCTTGCATAGGGTCCTCTATACCTGCTTTGCTGTATTCCTCTCTGCCTACAAAACCTTCTCTATATACAGATAATCAAGTGGTACTTAACACCCTTAAGCTCTTGTACCAGTTTAGACAGCAACATCAATTTTTAACTGCATCTTCTATGATTCCATTAACTAACAACCACCTATTTCCCCCCATCTCTTTCAGACTCGCTTTTTTCAGTTTGGTATGATAAGGGCGTTGGACATGTAAAGAATCTGTATGTACGTGGTGTGTTTGACAGTTTTACTAATTTGTCTTCTAAGTATAATCTTCCGGGTACTCATTTATTTCGCTACTTTCCGATGCGTAGTTTTGTTTTAAAACTCTTTCCCAGTTTTCCTTCAATCCCCCCGGAGTTGCCTTGGGAAAACTTGCTTTTCTATAGTCCTTCTCAGAGAGGACTCATTTCAAAGATATATAATTCCATTCTGAAACTAAACTGTCAGTGGGATACCAAAATCAAGAATGCATGGGAATCAGAGTTAGGAATACAGTTAAATGAAGATCTCTGGGCAGATACAATTGGAAGAATACGGTCTACTACCTCTTGTGCTCAT